AGTTTAATGCTTGATGTATTATATAGATTTAATTATATTATACTCTTTTATTTGTCATTCTTAATAAACTTTATTATAATTACCTTGATCAAGTAACTTATTATAATATTATTAAGCACTCACCAACTCTTCCAAGAACTCATAAAATATGATAACAATACAAAATCTAAATTTTTCATTTTTCTTCTTTGCTATAATTACAGATGCTAACCAAGGATTATTTGATAATGAAATAATATTTTATTTGAGCATTTTGTTAATTTTAGCTTTAATGAAATCTTTCTCTAATAATAATCTTTTATAATATGACTTTAATACTATTGGTTAACTTGTTTTAGTATTGATTTCATGTTGAATTATATTGATTTTTTCAGAACTTGTTATATCAAATAGATCATTATATTTAGCTAATAATTGATCTATCTGTTATTATTGTTTTTTAATTAAGTTAGTTTCTTTGTTTATTGTGAATTAAAATAATAGTTCAGAAATTATTTTGAGTTATTGATATAAATTTTGTTCTTGATTGCATTTCAAACAATCTTTAAGCATCTTGTTATTTTTATGAGAATATTTATCAATATTGATAATCTTATTTTTCTTTAAAAGTTGAATAAAAAAGTTGTTAATCTCCAAGTTGAGTATAATTTTCATTTACTTGAATATCTAGAATTATTTGATCATTTTGCTCTTTTTTAATTATAAGAAGTAATTGGTCTAAAATTTCCTCTTCTTTAATTTCATATTCTAATTCATCTTTAAAATTAAAATTTGAGTTAAATCTTTCTAATGAACCAAATCCTTGTTGATTTTTTTTGAATTTTCTAATTTCTTTAGTGGAAATAACATAATTATGTTATTTCCACTTAGTCTAGGTTATTTTCACTCAGGTATGTGTCATGACGATAGAAATGTGACATCGTCGTCAGTGTTGTGACGACAGAAATATGACACTGTCGTCAGTGTCGTAATATATATTTTATGACACATTTTTGACGATAGAAATGTAACACCATCATCAGTGTTGTAATATATATTTTATGACACATTTTTGACGACAGGAATATGATACCATCATCAGTATTGTAATATATATTTTATGACACATAGATAGGTTATAAAGCCCTAGCCTAGTCCTTCTGTGTTTTTTATTATAACCCAAATTCGATAACATTGTCTGTATACCGGGTTTGGTGATCGTGACTGATTTCTGACATTAGACCACATTGGTAAAAAAAATACCAACGATGCATTCAATCATATATCGTCATTTGCTGGTCCAATGCTATCTACCTATTGCTATCAAGTATGCTATCAAATATGCGTTGCGTAATTGCTATCAATTAACGCTATCTAATTACTATCACGTATGCTATATACACGCTATCTGGTTATGCTATCGATTAATGCTATCAAATATGTATGCTAGATGCAAAGCATCCTACTTCGTAGAGTATATCCTGTAAATGCTATCGACAATAATGTAAGTTGCGAAAAAAGTGGGTTAGCTTTGACTATATGTATGAAAAGGCAGATGTATGCTATTGATTAATGCTATGTAATTTAGCTATCGGGTTATATTATCATATAAATATTATCTGTCTATGTTATATGTAAGAAGGCGGATGTATAATCCTTATTTTTACTATAGGAAATCTGAAGTTACCTCCCTGACACATACCCGAAACATATTATTAAAAAGTGAAGTGTTCTTTCATATTTATTATATAATATTATTGAAGATTACTTTACCTTGACTTACCTAAAAACACATTATTGATCATATATCCAAAAATATATCATTAAGCACATACCATATCGGATGAAGTGTTCTTCCATTTTATATATAATATATTTCTGAAGATTACTTCATTTTACCTACTCCGAAAGCATACCCAATCATACCAATCGAGATGAGGTGTTCTTCCATATTTTATATATAATATTACTGAAGATTACACCACTCGAACACATACCAAAAACATACCTGAAATACATATGCTAGGGTGATGTGTTCTTCTATTTCTCTACATAGTAGAGTTTCTGAAGATTACACCATAAAGTTTTCTTTATCTCTATCACATTCATTTACATTTTCGCTAAGAATATTCGATGCATATTTTTTACTATCACTTACCACCAACTGAAAAAAATAATTTAAACTTTCGAAAATATATTGGGATAATATAACTTTGTTAACTGATAAATTCATAACATAAAAAAACCAAATACCAAAAATGAGTAAACAAAGCACACAAGTGATCCAGTATGGGAACGGGGAAACTTTAGCCAGAATTCTAACTCACAATGATATTATTTCAGAATGTGATAATGGATTAACAGCCATACTTCAACAAAGCTTATCTGATAAACAGCCTATATACTTTATGTCAAACGATGTGAGTGATGCCACTGAGTATGTAAAAAATGTATCGACATATATTCTACGTATTTATGGTACTTTGATTAATGGGCAAAAAGCTAGAATAGATATTACAGGTATTAAATCTTTCTTTGATATTGCTGTGTCTGATAACGAACCTTTATCTGCATTGAAATCAAGATTGGTGAAAATTATATCAGGAGCAGAAAAAATTGACAAATTAAAGTTTGGAATAAATATTGTCTATGCATATCCAATTCGTGGTTATCATACCGAGAAAAAGATGTATATTCGTATCACTACATGGAACCATTATGATAGGATGCAGATTTTAAAAGAAGTTCGCAAGCATGATATTGAAACAGCGTCTGATGATATCACTAATATTCATTATTATCGAAAAATAGCCCGTGAAAAAAAGTTACCTCTTTCCGAATGGGCAATACTAAATGATTATCATTATAATCCTAGCATGAATTTACCACATTATTCCTATTATTTTCGTATATCTATAGATAATTATCGATCTTTAGGAGAAAATAAATCAAATAAACCAATAATTTCCAAAGTTCTCTCACATGACAGAATTCTTGTTCTCACCTGGGATATTGAAACATATAGTGGTCGCAAAATGGGAGAATTACCTGAGGCAAGAAATGAAAAGGATCAAGTATTTATGATTTGTATGACAGTTCATTGGAAAGATAACCCCAAACTACTATTGCAAATATGTTTGGTTGATATGGAGACGAAACTGAATCCTGGGTGGATTACAGTAATATGTGGAAATCAGATCAACTTATTGAAAGCCTTTGCATTATGTTGGAAAAATTTAACTCCCGATATACAAATAGGTTTTAATGATTCCCAGTATGATTGGGTTTTTGTTATAGAGAAAGCTAAAAGTTTAGGCATACTTGAATGGATGTTTAATCATATGTCACCCGACTCATCTAACATTGAAGAAATTATAAAATGGAAGTATCGAAGAAGTGAGATAAAGATATATGATGAAAAATTTTATTCGAAGTATCTCAAAATCCCAGGGTGTATACCTATTGATGTTCGTGTTTGCTTCAAAAAGCTATACCAAAAATCAGAAGCAAGTTCACTGAGATATTATTTGGAAAAATGTGGATTGGGTAGTAAGGCGGATATGCCAATAACTACTATGAACAAAATATATGAAGATGCAATACTTCAACTCTCTGATACATCAGCTAAAAATATGTGTAAAGTTATAAATTATTGTGTTACAGATGCATTGCGATGCCAAGAGCTTATGGTTAAGCATAATGTAATCAATGATAATAGAGAAGTAGCATCTATCGCATATGTTTCTCTTTCTGATGCTTATTACTATGCGGGAGGGATGAGAGTATGTAATCTGCTTGGTGCAGAAGCTTGGAAACGGAATATAATGGTTAGTATGATCTCATATAAACCAGAAGAAGAGGATGGGTTTCCTGGAGCTTATGTAATTCCACCTATAAAAGGTCTTGAAAATAAGCGACCTGTCACTGGTTTGGATTTTGCATCATTATATCCAAGTCTTATTATGACCTACAATCTTTCATTCGAAAAAATAATTTTAAATCGTGAAGAGGTTATATCTGTAGCATGAAGTGATAAAAAGCTTCATAGGATAGAATTCACGGTTAATGAAGATAAAGAGAATGAGCGTAAAATTATTGCTTGGTCTGTAAAGCATGGAAATCAATCAGAAGAGAAAGGATTATATGCTAAGGTATTGGAGGAATTACGTAACAAGCGAGTTGAAATGAAGACTCGTCTTAAAGCATTGGGAGATAAAAAGGAAGCACTTGAAAAAATGGGAAAATTACATAATGAGACAGAGTATGCTTCTATATGTTTTGAATATACTTGTATAGATTCCAAACAAAATGCTCTCAAGATATATATGAACACGTTTTACGGTGAGGCAGGCAATAGTATTTCTCCATTCTTTCTACTTGAATTGGCAGGTGGGGTTACTTCAGCTGGACAGCATAATATTAAATTCGTTAAAAAGTTCGTTGAAGATAAAGGATTTAAAGTCAAATATGGAGATACTGACTCCTTATATCTTGTCTGTCCGGAAGAATATTTCCAGGAATATGATGTAGCATATAATAATGGAAATGGTATCTCAAGAGAGGATTACTGGTCTCAAATGGTAAAAATATCTATAGACGTAATGGCTAAGCTTTGTGATGAAGTAAATGTTGAGCTTGAAAAGGACAATGGGACACCTTATCTTAATATGGCATATGAGGAGGTCTTATTTCCCGTGGTATTTACAGGAAAGAAAAAATACTACGGTCTTGAGCATAAAAAGGAGCCAAATTTCAATCTGGGTAAGCTTTTCATTAAAGGGATAGATATTGTGAAAAGAGGCCAATCTAAGCTCTTTCGTGATGTAGGTAAGGAAATTATGAATAGAACTTTGAAAGTTAGTAATGAGGAGACAATACACCAGATTGTTGAAAAAGTTCTTTGGGAAAATGTGGAAAAACTTTCCAAGTTAGATTATGATGAATTTATTCAGACATATATATGGAGGCCTAAAAAGGAAGGTAAGCGGGAAAATATTTCTGTAGAACGGTTTGTTTTACGAATGGAGACTAAGTATTCTCGTGAAGTATTGGAAAATCAACAACTTATAAAAAAGGGTTTACCCGCTAACGAATACCTATATAAAGTTTCCAAACCCAGTGAACGATTTAGTTACATTGTAGTAGTACCTGAAGAGATTTATGATAACTGTGGGAAAAAAATACCACAACAAAAAGGAGACTGTATGGAATACCCAGATATGGTAAAAAAGTTCAACAAGAAAATAAATATTGATTATTATATCGAAAGTTTATTTGGTCTCTGTGCCCATTTTATAAATTATGATGATAAATATCAACCATCGTCTAAATCCCTCTCAAAAGTCTTGGATCGCAAAAAGAAATTCAAGGAAAAGAAATTAAAAATTGCTAAGGATTTATTGCAGAGCAGGCTGTTAGGCGATTCTCTGAATCATGACTCTCCGAGTCTAGATGAAGATGAAATAGCAAAAATTAAAGATGAAGAGTCACAGAAGTCAGCTAAAAAATGGCTCAAAAATTATATTAAGAATTTACGTGATGCTCCGAAAAAAGATGAAGCCATTATCTCCCATTTATGGAAAGATGCTATTATTCACGCGGAAAGAATATACTCTGGTATCGGCAAAAGAGATGGGAACATAGGTTATACAACAAATAATGATTACCTTAATGCGTTAGACAAAATTACAGACTCTACTCATTCTAAATTATCGGATCTACTTTTAGAATTGTCTAAGCTTAATGTAGAATATAGAAATGCAATATATAAATTAATTATGCAGACGCAAAAATGTAAACCTGAAATTACAATTCTGGAACAATATATATTTCTATATGATTTGGGATCAGAGTGCAGAGCATTAATGAATTTCTGGAATACATGGCACAAGGTGGTTGGTCTTGAGTTCACCCGTCTTCAAGCACTACCAGTTACACAGAACTAAGGATGCTTGCCTAAATCCTTTCAGAAAAATATCGTCATAATTTCGACGGGTTACACACTAATTGTTAATTAGAATTTCGACATAATTTTGATTACGACGGATTTCAAAATTCGTCAGAATTTCGACGTGTTATTTACTAATAGTTTATTATAATTTTGACAGAATTTAGACAGTCACTAAGGTATTTCGGCAAGCAATCTTACACAGAACAGTAAAAAAAGATGACTCATCTGAAGCGGATGTTAATGAGATCATCGATCTATATTGTTAAGTACTCCATTAATACTCCCCAATATTAGTGATACTTATATATTATTAATAATATTTTTTCGTACATAAATAATATCCAAGTTTAAATAGATGTTCGTCTGATCCACATATTCCGCAATCGACCACTTTTTTTATGATCCTTTATTTCAAAGAAATGACTCTTCGAGTCTAGAGTCGCTCCTTCGGGCCTGCGAAGTAATAACGCTTTGAGTCTACCTATATTCCTGCATCTTACAAACCACACAACCGTAATAATTAACAGAGCAAGAAAAATATATGCCGATAGCGGTGTCATTAAAGTGCTTGCCACAGCAGGAAGAGACAAAGTCTCGAGACTAGGTCTCATCGCTCCTATTCCTTCTATCGGAATTTGAGAATGTGATTTAATCAATGATGATATATATGCTTTATTACTAGTTCCGCTATTATTATCCCATTGTGCAAGGTATGGAGTCGCATTCGGTATTTCTTGGAGTATATTGTTATTAGTTTTGCTAATATCGATTTTATCATTACTTCCCTTGGAGTTGGCCTCAGTATCATTTTTTGATAGTTCAGTAATCTCATCATTAGTATATGTCAAGATATCATTATCGATTTTTTCAGCTTGTTCCATACTTTTTCCGCGTATAAAATACTTATTTAGATTTTTGCTAGATTCATTAGACACGTAAGTGTCATGATTCAAAGAAGAGACAGAGTTTCGAATCTCCGATTCATCACTTAACGGCCTGCTTTGCAATACTACAGATATATCGTCAGGCTTGGTTATGGAACTTTGTTTCTCACACAGCGTATTTTTTTCATCATCTTCACCAATTATAGATCCTGATATATCCTCAGGTTTCAGACGCTCCAATTCACTAATTTTTAAAGCTAATTCAACTATCTTAGACTTGAGAGACTTGATTTCGGACCCTTTCTTTGATGAGTCTTTCTGAGATAAATCTAGCTTATCTTTCAATAATTTCATCCCATTCTGAAGCAATTTAATCTCCTCTAATTTTGTAGCATGTTTAGCCTTGGATTCCGCAAGAGATATATCTTTGCGAGCATTTTCAATCTGTAGATGTCTGTTCTCTTTAATAAGTTCCAGATCATGAGTGCGTAATTTCTGAATCTCAGTATTAGCCCCTCCTAGTTTTTTACTCCACTTCTTTCTATCCCAATCCCATCCCTTTCTTTCTTGATCAAAATTCTCTTCTTGCTTTATGTATTTATCCCGCAACTCACTGTTATAGTTACGCAATTTAGAAAAAGATTGGAGGATACGATGTATTTCTTTCTCAAGATCTATCGCATACGTCATATTAAATAATAGATAATATAATAAAAAAAATACAGATGAATCTCGATACTAATGTATAAGATATGTACTATACGTATTAAATATAGTATATGTACTATGCGTACTATGTATATTATATGTATTAATTATCGATACTATGTGTACGATGCGTATTAATTATCGATACTATACGTACTATGTGTATGATGCGTATTAATTATCGATACTATACATACTATGCGTATAATATAAATATTTTTTTTTCTCAATAAATTATTGATACTATTGATACTATTGATATTATTGATATTATTGATATTATTGATATTACGAATATTACGGATATTACGGATATTATAAAAACAACATGATTAAACGTATGCGAACTGATACATTCCCATTATCTTCAGTGGATTATGAATTTATTATGCAATATCATGATGCAAAATCCAAAACTGATATCTTGAAAAAGTTGCGGGATAAATATCCTATGACAAATAATCGTTTCTATAAAATTTGGAGAGGGGAAGAAGTTCATATGGTTGAATGGTATCAGCCTATATCGGATGAGTCGAAGACTCGAAGCTCAGCTTCCTCAATGATACCCCCAAATCAGAATTTATCTATACCTGAATCACGCTTACCAAATATTGACCAAGCTAGTATAGTTGAAAATTCTATTGTCGCTTCGGATAAGCGGGTTAAAAATAGAAAATCAAGATCTACGATTTATAAACCAATAAAAAAAGTGGGAGGGAAAGATGATCTATATACTTTAATCGAACGTAATCGTAAAGAAACAGAAGAA